GCCGCCGCCTCGCAGCACCTGGCGCAGCGCTACGCGGCCCTGGCCGCCGAGGACTGCGCCGCCGCCGCCCGTCGCTTCCTACTGTCTTCGGCCGCCGCCGCTGCAGCCGCCGCCGCGTCGGCCTCGTCGCCCGCCTCCTGCTGCAAAGAGCTGGGGTTGGCCGCTGCCGCCGCCTGGGAGCAGCAGGGCCGGAGCCTCTTCCTGGCCAGCGTGGGGCCCGTGCGCTTCCTGGGGCCGCCCGCCGCCGTGCAACTCTTCCGGGGGCCGCCGCCGCCGCCACCGCCGCCGGCCGAGTCCCCCACGCCACCCGAGATGGTGTGCAAGCGGAAGGGGGCCGGGGTGCCCGCCTGCACCCCCTGCAAGCAGCCCCGCTGCGGTGGCGGGGGCTGTGGCGGCGGAGGCTGCGGAGGAGGGGGAGGGCCTGCGGGGGGAGGTGCCTCGCCACCGAGGCCCCCCGGCGTCGGCTGCTGCCAGGGCTCCGAGCAGCCCCCACAGCAGGTCTGTCCCGCGCCCTCCTCCCCCACTCCCGAAGGTGCCACTACAGAGGCCGTCGGGGACGCTGTCCGAGCGTGGGGCGCCGCCCCCTTGCCCGCCCAGCAGCAGCACGAATGTGGCGACGTGGATTGTCAGGAGCCCTCCGAAGTCCCCTGCAACTGTTACAGGGAGCCACCCTCTGAAACTCCAGACATCAACCAGCTGCCGCCGTCCATTCTGCTCAAGGTGGGTCTAGGTTTACTGGCGCTGGGAGTCTCGTTTTTCCCCACTCCGGCTTTGGCCTCCAAGTATTCCCCTCCTTGCTCCTTGGCGCTGGGCAGGGGGCTTCCCTGACACCTGGGGACAGAGATGGAACGTCCGAACCTGACACTTGGAAAGCCAATGGACAGGATGCTTCTGTCCAGTTTTCTTTTTAAGTAGAGAAAGTTGGGCTTTACTGAATGTCTTTTAATAGATCTGATCTGTTACAGTTCAGGTTTCATTATATTCTCAACCCATTGCTTTGGGAACTAGTTGTAAGTTTCTGTGAAATACATTTATTGCGTTGACTAACTGTGAGAAAACTTTGTATGTTAGTATTTGAAACTATGCAAATGATACTTTTAGGTTTGATGGCTGATACTAGCAGTTAACTTTTATTGAGCGTTCACTATGATCAGGCACTTACTATGCCGCAGGTTTATATACATAATATCTCATTTAATTCTTCAGCTAACTTTGGGATAAATAATGTTAGCAGCTTTATTTTATATATGGAAAAAGTGCTATTTGAGTGTTATAGACCAGGAATTACAGTACTGGGTTAGGCAAATGTGATGCTTATGGAGGTTGTAGTGTAGTGGGACTTGAAGAGATTGAATGGACTTGTCCAAGGTCACCCGCAAAGGGAGAGATCTAGATCTTAAACTAGAGAATTGTGGCCTTCCTGACTTAAAATTCCTTACTCTTTTTGCTATGTTGTGTTGTTTTCCTACTTTTTCACCCTTAGACCAAAAAGAATACAGATTACCTGTAGGTAAGGACAGGTATATGAGGGGGCTTCTGAAAGTTTTTGGAAGATTTTCATTATCTTTCAGTTACATTTTCCACGAACTTTTTGAATGCCTCTCATGTATTTTTTTGTGGGTGGAGAAGGTGTGTATTGTGTGTAAGCTTTGGTCACTAAATACTATGTGAATTTAGCAATTTTGTCAGTTGACAATGTTAGTGACAAGTTTTATATGATCAGGTTTGAACTAAGTTATTAAGTTCTTCTCAGTGTCTCTCTTCTCTAAGCCTGTTTTCTCCCTTTTTGGAAATGAATAAACAAATTTCTTTACTTCAGTTTGGCTAGCTATAAATAACTTTGATGTTTGCACAAACTTCTATTTTTACTGTGGCTCACCTATATACTTTGTTTGATTACTCTTGTTGCTAATTATATGTGTGTTCAGATCTGTTTTACTCTGATAGTGATGTTCTTGTGAATGATACAACAAAAGAGGAGAACAGGTTAACTTTTCCATGTGTCAAAATGTAATGACTTAACTCATGTGGAGTTATATCTTCTGGAGGAGTACTTTGCCAGTTGTGTATGTTAAGGCTTTGGGTTTTTTGTTAGATGATTATTATTTCTCTCAGTATGTGACAGAAGTCCAGAAATAGATATCTGGGGTTTGTAAATTGCCTCATGATCTCTTCTGTCTTGGCTGCTCTACAATCTTTTATTTCTTTTTAAAAATCTTTAGTGAAAATATACACACCACCCTACTTATAGGTTTCTAAATGCACAGTTCTAAGATATTGATTGAATTCTTCAAGTTGTGCCACTTTTCTCAACATCCTTTTGCAAACTGTTTTTTTCTCATTAACACAAACTTGTGTCCTCCTTAAGCTGCTTATCTATCCTTTCAAGTTGCTTTTGTCAATTGATCACATATAGATAATAAAGCATAATGGGTAACACAGACACTCTTCTAATTAGACAAAATTATTATTTTGTTCAAATATGACTTCAGGAAATAGTTTTAGCTCAAAGTTTAAAGATCTCCTCAGGGTTGAATTTCATGCTGAGTGAGAAATAGGTCAGTAACAAAAGAAGAAGTATTGTATGATCTCACTTATATGAAATGATGATGATGATGTTGTTAAGTATCATCGAGTTGGTTCCGACTCATAGCAGCCCTGTATAGTAGGTTTGAACTGCCGACCTTGTGGTTCGCAGTTCTGTGCTGAGACTAGGCAAATGTATTGAGATGAAAGTCTATTAGTGATTTCCAGGGGCCAGAGTGGGGAAGGGGGAGCCATTGTTTAGGAAGTAACAAATAAATATATTTCAAACAGCTGCTGATATTGTCTATGTACAATCTAGCATCTTAAGGAATTTATTTTCTTGATTTGGAGATTTAGCAACATGCTTTCATGGGATGCCCCAGTTAGTTGGCCTAATATTGATTTTGGTGCTTCTTTTCTACCTCTTTAAGGAGCCCTGGTAACGTAGTGGATTATGAGCTGGACTGCTAACCACAAGGTCAGAGGTTTGAATCTACCAGTCACTCCAAGGAAGAAAGATGAGGCTTTCTGCTCTTGTAAAGATTTACAGCCTTGGAAACCCTGTACAGGGTCGCTGTGAGCTGGCACTGACTCAGTGGCACACAACCACTACCACCACCCTTTCTACCTCTTTGGATTCCTGGTGTGGTGCTGTAGGATAAGCACTGGACTGTGAACCACAAGGTCAATGGTTCAGATCCACTGGCTGTTCCTTGGAAAATCTGCAGAGGGTTGCTGTGAGTCAGAATCGACTCAACAGCACTTAACACCAATAATTGTCTCTTTTTGGAGTCATGGTGTGGTGCTGTAGGATAAACACTGGACTGCTACCCACAAGGCTGATGGTTCAAACCCACCAACCACTCCTCGAAAACCCTATATGGGGTCACTGTGAGTTGGAACCAACTTGAGAGCAATTAACAACAACGTTCTGTCTCTTTGTTGTGTGGTAGCTGAGGTCTTAAAAGCTTGTGAGTGGCCATGCAAGGTACAACAATTAGTCTCGTTTGCTAAGAGCACCAGAGGAAGAAAGGAGGGTCAAGAATTGGTGGAAGATATGGAATATGTGTCCAGTTACTTCCATGAGCAACTGTCTGCCTCACCATCCAGAAGAAATGGATGGTACCCGGCTATTGTTACTGAACATTTAGATGAAGAATTTTAAAGAAGAATCTTGATCAAAAGAGGAAATGAGAAACAGAATTAAAAATTTTTAGGGTGCGAATTTTAGGTTAGAGGGCACTTTCTTTAGTTCTTTAAGTTAGTGGGTAATATGAACAAATAGGAGTCTTGGTGTGGCACTATAGGATAAACACTGGACTGACCACAAGGTAGATTTGAACCTTGAGTTGGTGGTTCAAACCCACCAGTTGCTTCTTAGAAATCCTATACAGGATCACTATGAGTGATGGCACTTAATAACAATAAATAACAAATATTTGATACAGATGTCAGATTGCTGTCTTTGTATTTGGTCAAGGAAACTATTTAAAAACAAACTGAAATAAAAACCAGGTACTTTTTATTTAAATCATTAAATAATAAGGTATATAACATTTTCATTTTACCCCCTTCCCCTGAAAGAAGAGGAAGGGCATGATTTATAAGGAAAATCTGTATAAATTTATTTGCTACATTGTTGCTTTTTACTATTTTGCAGTCAGTTCCTGAAAACTTAGTTTGGGGAAATTACTTTTGTTGGACTACCTTGTTGTGAATATTTGACATTTCATTACGTAGATTTCCATTCCTTGTATTGAAAACCTGTACCTGGTATCAAGAGGGTCAGAGAAAACAAAGACCCCAATGAGATGGATTGGCCAAGTGGCAACATTGATGGACTCAAGCGTGGCAACAATGGTGAGGTTGGCCCAGGATCCGGCAGTGTTTTGTTCTGCAGTGCATAAGGTCACTATGAGTCGGTACCGATTTGATGGCACCTAACAACAACAACAACAACCTGGTATCATGGCCCTGGTGGTATTCAGAATGAAGTGAGTGGGATTGACTGAGAAACTTGAAATTTATCCCAGGTTGTTTTAGTGTTTTCCAGTCCAAGTAAAATTTATGGGGCAGTTAACACTTTTGGAGTCCTGGTGTGGTGCTGGACTGCAAAGTTGGTTCTAACCACAAGGTTGAACTAAGCTTCTAGCAGTTTGTGGATTACAAAACCCTGTGGATTACATTGGTCTGATCACCTTGTACATGGGGTTGCTATGAGTCGGGGACTGACTCTGCAGCTGGTAACAACAACCACAACCTGGTATAGGTGCATTTGGGGTTGATATCAGCAAAGACTATCTTCTTGAAAAAAATTTAAAAGAATATAAGTTATAAGTATTTTCTTGCTTTAAAACACACAGATAATGTAGGTAAAGCAAAAGTTTGCCTTATCGCATCTGTATCTTTCCATCAAAGTTTTCTCATCAGAGGTTATCACTGTACGAGTTTACTTTTTCTAAACCTGCACTGTCCAGTTCAAAAACACTAGCCACATGTGCCTATTTAAATGTAAAGTTATTGAAATTAAATACAATTTGAAATTCTGTTTCCCAGTCATAGTAGTCATATTTTGGAAATCAATACTCATATGGTTTCTGAAGCTATAAATCTCAGCATTCCTGAGGCTGTAAAGTCACATCTTTCTCCCATTTCTAATGATTAGAGCTATCTAACATGGAGTCTTGGTAGCATAGTGGTTATGAATTGGGCTGCTAACCTCAAGGTCGGCAGTTCGAAACTACCAGCTGTTCCGCGGGAGAAAGATGAGGCGTTCTGCTCTCGTAAAGATTTACAGCCTCGGAAACCCTGTGCAGGGTCACTATGAGTCAGAACCGACTCCACGGTACTTAACAACAACAACATGGAGTCCTGGTGTAGTGCTGTGAGTTAAGGCATCAGACTGCAAAGCCATTTGAACTGCAAGGTTGGTGGTTCAAGCTCACCAGCTGCTCCTTGGAAACCATATACAGGGTCGCTATGGGTTGGAACCTACTCGACGGCACTTCGCAACAACAACATAGAGTCCGGGTGTGGTGCTGTGAGGTAATGCACTGGACCACAAGATTGATTTAAATCGCAAGATTCGTGGTTCAAGCTCACCTTGAACCTTGAATCTTGGAAACCCTATACAGAGTAACTATGAGTCTGAACCGACTTGATGCCACTTAACAATAACAACATGCAATAGGAGT